AGCAAACTAAGAGTGAACTTGTGTCTGGGTGACACCATCGCCGTCACCATCACACTCTTGGGAAGGTATATATTTTTTCTGAAGTACTTTAAAGGCTCATGCTATTTTTTCTTGCAGTTTGACTCCAAATGACAAAGAAAATGAGTGGTTCAAAATGATACAAAACTCACCTGAATATATAGAAAATTTTCTAGGTGTTAGAGCTGTACAATGAGGAAACGAGTCAGCATGTCATAGATCAGAATTTAGTGAGCATGGTTTTGGGGAGGTGATGAGTCCTCCATAAGTACAGGGATTCAAGAGTGGCATGACAACTGTGGTAAGCTCAGAGAAGTTTCCCCAGCATAGTCTTGGCAGGTGGCTAGGAGAAACTTGAAAATCACAGGATCTTAGTGAGTCTGAGGAAGGCTTCGAAGAGTGGTCAGCTCGAGATAGAAGGACCAGACCTTCCTCTACCTTTCTATTCCTTCAGGAAACCTTCCACATTAAGCTTGGCTGTCCTCAGGATCCATAAAATCCTGTGACAATTCTAAATTATGATACCTGCCCCACTGAGTTAGTACAGAATACTTGAGAGGGAGATGTTCCTGAATACCTCAAATAGTCCAAGACTATTCTCAACCAAGATGGCAGACACTAAGAGCTCAAAAAATATTTGCTATGCCTATTGTTTTTATCAGCTGGTCTTTCTTTGAGAACATTAGGTGATGAAATGAAACTACTTCATGAATGCACTGTGTCATAATGAAAATACATGGACTTTAGGATCGGTCAAAATTCATTTCAAGTTTTGGCTTAATCACGTAACAGCTCAATAGTTCAAGGAGAAGGGCTTAACTCTCTTGAGGTTCTGCCTTTTCATCTGTGCGACGGGAAGTAAGATTTGTCTCAGATGGATGATGCAAAGATTTACCAAGGAGGCATGGAATATAACCAGTCTAGAGCCTCATCTCTGGTGTTAACACCCTTTGCCAGCCTCCATTGTTGGGCAGCTCCCATTGCTTAAAATACCCTTTTTTGTCTTTATTTTCAAATACTCTCTGCTTACTTAATTTCTGCTTTCACCAATGGATCCTAGACACACCACTTTTATCATTCTCACTATGCAATAGAGCTGACATTTTGGCCTCAAGTTCCCATATAGATTCTTCATGTCAGTGGGGGCATAACAACTAGTATTTGATCATGCCTGAAAATTAACAGTGAAGCCCTTTTACTTTGTATTTCTAGTTGTGACAGGTAGTTAACAAATGCAAAGGAATATTACATTCTATTACAGAGATGAATACTGGTTGGTGGTATAAATGAATATTGTCTATATTGAATTTCTCCAATCTTAGAATAGCATTATAAAAGGATCAATCATTTTGTCATTACGGTCTTCTTTGGCTCCAATCCAGTTTATTGGATTCCTTTAGTTTCAAGTAACAATAAAAAGAATTGCCTCTTATATTAAATGGGAACATACTATGCTTGAGACAGAATTGAGATTTTATGACTTAGATAAAAATGAAACCACTAAAAATACAGGCTTCTTATCCATGGGCTAGTGAATTATATGTGAATAAAGTCTGTTCCTTTTCCTCATCGAGGACTGATACTGTGTCACTGGAATTTAATTTTTGAAGTTGAAGACTGGCATTTTGGTTCAGATATTTCTTGTGTTTTGGAAGAGGCAATAGAAAAGATCATCTATTTTAATGTCCTTGATTTATAATAGAGAAATCAAGGTCCAAGTTCAGTCCTTAAAATGGCTTCTGTGTATGAGTTATCAAGCCCTACGATTTCACCTTTAACTCGATCTAACAGTCACAATTAAAGGCTCATGAAGTTTTAAAACTAGTCTGGAGCTTGGTGATTATCTGGTCATACTTACTTTACAGTTGAAAACACTAAGAAGTGAATGGCTCTTCAAGGTCGCACAGAGAGTTACTGGCAGATTTCAGAGCAACAGTCGACCGCTCTTGGACTTTTCTAGATTATCTCATTTCCTCTCCTTTTTAAAAATGCAATCAATCAAGCAAGCATGCAACCACCTGTGTTGGAAGCTTCTCCACTGTGCTAAGCACTACCAAGTAATATGGGCAAATAAGGCAGAGAAATAAAATACTGTCCTTTTCATGGAAGAACTTAACAATCTTAGGAGACAACATGCTTTAGGGAACAACCCAAGAAAAAACTGAGAGACAATACATCCTATGTTTCTGCGTCCCTCCATCTTCCATTTAGACACCTGCCTCTGTGCCCTCAGAAGTCTCTGTTCTCATCTCAGCTTTAGCCTTTAGCTCACAGAATTGCAGTTGTTCACTTCACTTTTCTAGTTTTCATTTTTGTTTTCAGATCTTTGCCACTTGGCAAGTCAGTGCCTCACAATCTTCTACTCATAAACTTCAGGATTTGAAGCTACTAAAAATAACAAAATGTCAGAAATTCAGAACTCTTTAGAGCAAAGAAATGAAGAAACAGCTTACACAGCTCAATACATTCTAACACACTTCTCCCACCCTGGCCTCTCGCCTACCCTTTCCTTCTGTCTTAAATTTGTAATGACATTTTAATTAAAAAGTTGATAAAATTAAACGTAGAAAATAAACCCAGGAACATTTAATATTTGTAGATGGAGGCTGCAATTTTAGTCAGATGGAAACTCCCAGCTTGACTGATTCATTTGTGGGAGTTGTACAGAAGAGCTGCTTACAAAGAAAATCTTATGAGTAAATGGTGAATGAAGTCATCCTTTTCAGAGAATAAAAAGAAGAGTTATAGCTGGGGTAGAGGAGGGCCCTATGCATGGCCACAAAAGAGTGAGGTCCATGATTTTGGTAGAGATCTTGCTTTCCTTAGGGGTAGTAGGAGCCGTTAGGTCAAATCCCAGCCTTTGCTTGACCATATTTGGATAAAACATCAGTATTGATCATAAGGACTATTAGCAAGACCTGCCTATATTACCAATAGCCAAGGCACCAGAAGCAGAAACAGCAGGGAAGAGCTACAAATTGGGGCCATCAGAAGCAGATGTAACTTGGCACTCAGAGCTACAGAACATGTGGGGAGGGGCAGCAACAGCAGCTACTGTGATTTTTCTGCAAAGATTGAGGAGAGACTCCGAGTTAGAATGTAAGTTTGTTACCCTTGTGTTTTTCCTTCATGCTCTTGACTATTTTTTTTTTTTTTGAGGCTATATGTCCAGAGGACTCAAGAGATATGGACGAAAAGCAGGGAGCAAGGAAACATGCGGCAGAACGAAGGGAGCATGGCCCATTATTGGGAACATTCTGTGTGTAGAAAGAACACTGTGATTGGTTAAAACAAAAATAGCAACAACAAAATTACCACACACCCCTGTGTTCTGGACAGTGTGCTGGACAGAAGGGACATTGAGACAGTGGGACAAAGTCATATAACTCTATGCATATCTTTGTCTTAGCTCTTATAATCATCTACTTGCCTATCTTTCTACAAAGACTGAGGTCCTCTAAGACAAGGATACTGTCTTTTGTATCTTTATGCCTGCAATGTATAGTGTATCCTCGCTGGCTATGTAACTTGCTGTGCAAACCAAGACACTTGTGAGAATGGAGTGGGTGTTAAAAATGATTAATCCTGGATGATAGACACAACCAGGACTTACCAGGCAAAAGGAAGAAGCACTGTGCAGAATATGTATTTTCAAAGATAAATTAACCTTGGGTCAATCCTTTGAACTCATGGCAAATCTTAAAGCAGCCTCGGAGGTAGGCAGCAATTGACAATGAAAGGCATTTTGACTCTGTCAGCTGGGACACCGCTATCATTGTACATTACTGGATCATACTGTGTAGAAACCCAATAAGAAGCAGGTATGTATGAGACTAGATGTTCCACAGTCATCCAAAGAATGACAAAACCATCTCAAGAGGAACATGATAAGGTCTGTTGGCAAAGATCTCTCTTGGCATCCCAGGAACTTCTGGGGTGAATGTGTGCACTGAGCTCAAATCAGAATATCTGCAGGAAAAAAATAAAAGAAGAAAAAGAAGCCAGACCAGGAAAGTAAGAGGAAGTGGATATCACTGCTGGAGACAATGACTAATTTAAGCAGAGAAGGAGAAAAAGAACTTTTTTTCCTTTGTGCCAGTTCCTTTTACATGACTTCAGAACATTCTATGACAGCCCAGCGTGCAACTTGGCACTGTCAGAAGAGACCTGGGAAAGAAAGGAAATGCAGTAAGAAATGGAAACAGAATATCATATTTGAAAGCCTGGGGACCATTTCCAGAGTTTTCTACTTAGGGGTGAATAAGAAAACAGGAAAAAACTTTTTTGAAAAAAAAGAGTAAATGGAAAATTTCTCCCTTATCCCATCTCTTTTCACTGGAGGCAATAAGGAAAGGAATGAATTTTCATATTTGTCTGGGATTCTTCCTATGAAAAAAAAACAAAAACAAAAAGAACTCAGTCAGATAAAACAAAGACTCTTCATGGAGGGGTGGCCTTAGTGTAAAAAGGCGATGCCCATTGATGGCAGGAAACCTCGTTTCTTTTTACCTTAGGTTTGGTCCCGATGCCCTTTGTCTACATCTCTTTTTTCTATGAACAGTAATTAGAGTATGTGGCCACTATATGTTATGGTCTTCCCATTCTCTCAGCCTTTCTTTCCTCCTTTCTTTCTTTCTTTCTTTCTTTATTTATTTCTTTTATTTCTTGTTTCCTTCCTTCCTTCCTTCCTTCTTTCTCTCTCTCTCCTGCTCCCTCCCTCCTTTCCTTCCTTCCTTCTTCTTTCTTTCTCTTTCACTTTCTTTCCTTCCATCTCTCTCTCTCTCTCTCTCTCTCTCTCTCTTTCTCTCTCTCTCTCTTCCTTTCATTCATCTTTCTTTCTTTCTCTTTAATTTCTGGCATATATGTGCAGAACATGCAGGTTTGTTACAATAGGCACACATGTGCCATGGTGGTTTGCTGCATCTATTGACCTATCCTCTAGATTCCCACCCCTCACCCCCTACCCCCAACAGGCCCCAGTGTGTTTTGTTCCCCTCCTTGCGTCCATGTGTTCTCATTTTTCAACTCCCACTTATGAGTGAGGACATGGGGTGTTTGGTTTTCTGTTCCTGTGTTAGTTTGCTGAGAATGATGGCTTCCAGATTCATCCATGTCCCTGCAAGGACGTGATCTCATTCTTTTTATGGCTGCATAGTATTCTATGTTGTATATATACCACATTTTCTTTATCTAGTTTATCATTAATGGGCGTTTGGGTTAGTTCCCTGTCTTTGCTATTGTAAATAGTGCTACAATAAACATATGTGTGTGTGTGTGTGTGTGTTTATAGTATAATGATGTATATTCAGCTTTCATATAGCACATTTGAAGTAGACATGCAAGAATTTTCAACAGACCACTCACTCATTGCAAATCAAACAAAAAGGGTTGAGGGAGAATGAGTGTTTATTCTTTTTTGTAAAGGAATTGTAGCTCAATCTGATTCAGTGCTGGACATTCAAGGGTATGCTCAGAGGATTACATTTCTGCTCCCACAATGGTACTGTGGCTTGCACTGGCAGAGTCTGAAGGTGATCACATCTTGTTCTCATGCCCTTTTTTCTTGATTGCCTTCTCTTCTCTTTGCTTGGTTAAACATGTGAGCTTATAACCTTCAAAGGCTAGCACACATCAGACTCTTCCCTTCCTCCCATGCTTCTTACTGGGACATGGTATATACATCCTTGGCTTGCTAGACAACTCTAGAGTGTGCATGTGCATGTGTGTGTGTGTATGTATTATGTGGATGTTTTGTGCATACAAGCATTTGGTGCATATATGCACATGTGTGTCACATATATGCAATGTGTGTTGCCTAGTGTTTGCATGTATATTGTATGTGGTGTTTTACCTGTATTGGATGTGATGTGTGTATAATGTATGTCTGATGTAGGTATAATGCGTTGTGTACATGGTTTATGCATATTGTGTGTATGTGTGTAATATGCACGTGTTGTGTGTTGTATATGTGTTTGCATGTTGTGTTTTGTGTGTTGTTTGTTCAGTGTGTGCGATGCATAGGTTGTATACATGTCTTGTGTGTATTATGTGTATGTGCATCATTGGAAATGTTGAACTGCTTTCTTATGCTCATCACTTTTGCTGGGTGTGCTCTGGCTTACCAATGTTTCATTTCAGCTTTGGGCTACTGGAACCACATTTCTTCGGATATCTCTGGGTAGTTCACAAGAGGACAGGACTTCAGACTCACCATTCCTCTGCAAACAACTACGGGGTTTCTAAAAGTTTATCAGCTATTTAGCCTGCACAAACCTCTTCCTGGAGCCTTCATCCTCTCCCTGTTATCACTCACCAGCCTGTACTTTCTCATGGGGTTGTCAACTAATTCTCTCTGCATGCTCTTCAATTCCCAGTCATTCCTAAAATTGCAGTGATGCAGCCGTCCTCTGCCATAATGACTCCACTAAAGATGACCTCCCTGTGGTTAATAAAGAACCAACTGCCAAATTCACTGGACACTTTTTAATCCTTGTATTACAAACATCAAACAATTGTAAGCATCATCAAACTCTTCCTTCTACTTCAAATTCCTCTTCTGAAATATGCAGCAGCATACAGCAGTTTCTCAAATAATGTTGTTTAATTCAACATTGTTTAATTATAACATTTAAGAAAAAAATTGATTCCCAACTGAGGCCACTGTCTGTGTGGACTTTGCAAGTCCTCCCCACGTCTGTGTCTGCATGTGTTTTCTCTGAGCACTCCAGTTTCCTGTCACATGTCAAAGCTGTGCACATTAGGTTTGTTGGTGTGTCTCAGTGGTCCCAGTCTGAGTGAGTGTGGGTGTGGAGGTGAGTGTGTGCTGTGATGGTATGGCATCCTGGACAGGGTTGGGTCCCACTTAGCTCCTGAGCTGCTGGGACAGGATCCAGCCACCCAAGGCCCTGCACTAGAATAAATGAGTAAATAATTATCTAACTTGTTTTTATTATTTTTTCTTAAATGCATGTGTATCTCACATTTGTTTCAATGTTTAATATTAGAAGTGTTTGGGGTTTCTATTTAGACGTATAATGATGTGACCAGGAGCCGTGGCTCATGGCTGTGATCCCAGCACTTTGGGAAGCCAAGACAGGTGGATCAAGAGGGTTAAGAGATTGAAACCATCCTGGTACACATGGTGAAAGCCCATCTCTACTAAAAATACAAAAACTAGCTGGGTGTGGTGGTGCATGCCTGTAGTCCCAGCTACTCAGGAGGCTGAGGCAGAAGAATCGCTTGAACCTTGGAGGTAGAGGTTGTAGTGAGCTGAGAGTGTGCCACTGCACTCCAGCCTGGCAACAGAGAGATCTGTCTCAAATGAATAAATGAATAAATAAATAAATGAAGTATGATGATGTTTTTCTGACAAGACTATGCAGTAGAAACTTGATACTTGTTAATATCAATTAGCCTATGGTGAAATTGGTTTTGTCACACATTGTTTTGTTTAGAGTTGCCATTTCCAAAAGCCTATTCACAACAATAAGTAAGATCTTTCTGCACTGTGATACTCCCGCTCCTTCTCTAGCAGCTACTCAATCTTCTCCATCTCATTCTCTTCTTGGGTCCATTTTTAAAATGTTAGCTCCTAGTACTCCATTGTGGTCTCTATATTTCAGTCTATGCCTTTTCCCTGACTGACCACATTTACATGCTCAGCCTCATTTTCCTCCTCATGAATGACCCACAAGTGTCCAGGCTAAGTCAAGACCCCTTCCAGGTGCAGACTTGAGTTCTGCCTGCCTCTAGGACAGCTCCCTCTGGGTGTATCAGCAATTCTCCCCTCCACAATCTGCTCAGAGCCCATGTGTCCTCTTTTCCTTTGTATGTCACTGTCAGTGCTAAGCCTGTGGTCACTCAGGTCAGAAACCCAAGAGAGCTTTCTACCTCTTGGGGAGTGAGAATCCAATTTTCCTCAGAGAGTTGTTGGACTAAAATGAGATACGTAATACAAATGAATTTACATCACCTAGCTTTTAGTAGGTATTCAGAATATATATATTTTTTTCTTTTTCTCTCTTAAAAATTGTCATGAAAGTTCATTGAGTCAGAGATTAGTTATAGATGGGAGATTTCAGACATGACTTCAGTAAACAATCAAACAAAATTACAATATTTAAATAACCAATTAGGAAGAAGGACTGTCTCTCTGCAACACATGAATTAACAAAGAGATTCTACAACATCTCCATTACTGATGCTTAGAAATCTGTGGGGTTGGAGGACAGGAATTGTATTTTCTACTTTGTAGACAAGGAAACTGTGCTTCTGGTGGATTCTGTAACTTCGCCAAAATCACCCAGCTGGCCAGTAGCAGAGCTGGGACTGAAATAATCAGAAAAATCAGAATCCAGTTTTAAAGAGTGTATTCACATGAAAAGCTGGGAATGGCCATCTGGAAAACACAGACATCAGAGAAGTGAGGTCAGTTCTCTGAAGTTAAGATTTTGCCTACAAAGAAAGAAGACAAAAAAAAATTTAACAGGATTACAACATCTCGTATATAAGGCTGGTTTATGAGTTACAACAATTTAATTAGTTACAGTTTGTCTTTTCTGTACAACTTGTTTTTATTTCCTTTCCAATTTAAAGGAGTATATTTAACATTCCGGTACACCAGAAGTCCCCAAGACCTGGGCCACAGATGGTCTGTGGCCTGTTAGGAATGGGTCCACTCAGAGGAGGTGAACAGCGGGCAGGCGAGCCTTACCATCTGAGCTCTGCCTTCTGTCAGGTCAGTGGTGGCATTAGATTCTCATAGGAGAACAAACGCTATAGTGAACTGTGCATGTGAGGGATCTAGGTTGCATATTCCGTGAAACAGTTTCATCTCAAAACCATCCCTCCCACTCTACCCTCATCCATGAAAAAATTATCTTCTGTGAAACTGGTCCCTGGTGTCAAAAAGGTTGGGACTGCTAGATTAGACAATGTGACAACCGTGAAGTCTTTGCATGAGAGGGAAGCTACTCTATAACAAAGATCAACAATAAGAGGGTAGGGGTCTTCCCTTCCCTGGTGCCCTTTAGTCATTTACATTTTACAAGACAATGCAGGTAAGGGAGGAGGCTAATTTATAGTAAGGGAAACAAAGTTTACAGCTGCCTATGTTATAGCTGCCTATGTTGCAGCTGCCTGTCACCTGACTCAGGCCCTATAATTTTATTCCTTTAAGGCTCAAAATAATTTAAAGTTCCAACAGCTTAGAGTTGGAATTATTTATTTTCACTCCTCCCAAATGTGTGTTCCTTCTGTTTCTTGTGGCCTGCCAATAACAAGGTAGGTAATGTCTCTCTAACAAGGTAGTCATTGCCTAGTTGGACAGATTGACAGGCGACCCTCCATTTCTGAGTTCAGAGCAGAGGGCAGTGGCTGAATTAAGAGGGTCTAATCACTGTAAAAGTCCTTGGTGAGGTTGAAGCTTATGATAGTTTTTAAGACAGGGACATAGATCTGGGGAGAGAAGTGGCAGGGGCTTGCTAAGCCTGTGATGTGCCACATAGAATGAAATTGATGAAGGAGTAACTTCGGGAATATATATCTGCCAGACACATGATTATTTTGCCTATCTATAAGTGATTATTTCTAGAAGAGTAAGTACAATGCAGTGCCAGGTGCCAACACGATTCAAATAAACTAAGTTCACCATTTTATAGTCAGTGAAGTGGAATCACATACGTGATCTGATGTGGGCCTTGAAACCACCCTTTGATATTCCAATTATTATTATTTCTCTTTTATAGGTCAGGAAAGTGCAAATCTCAGAGTAGAGAATTTGTAAAAGGTCATGTTCCAAAGTCAATCAGCAGAGAGACAATAAACAATTCTAAGGCTATAGGCCTAAAATCTCTTCAACTTGTTTGCCATGCTACATCTGGGTCTTAACCCTAGTTCCCATCTTGGGCAGAGGCCTGAACTTAGGTCTGTCACAAATGTAGATAATCATAATCACTCTTCCTACCCCATGGCATTGTTTGTGAAATCCAGATTGGTAACATACATGAAAGTGTTCTGTGGAATCCAATGTAATACTATAGACCTGGAAAGTATCTGTATCAATTAGTTCCCATTTCTGCTGCCTTTCTGCTCCATGACCTTCAGCCTTATCTCAGGGAGGGAGGTACCATTTTCTCTGCTGGCAAAACAAGGCTGGTCAAATCAGTGAGCCGAGACTTCTTCGGCCATCAATACAATGTGTGCTCCATTCCTGCACATGAGGCTCTGGGCTGTTTGTAGTGTTGCTGCCCTTGTATTATAGATGTCAGAATGTCAGTGTGAGATGCCAGATCTCACAGGGGAAGCTCCTCTTTTGCAGAGGAGGGGACACAGGATTGCAGTAGTAAAGTACAACATGCCCAAGGTCACACAGATGGTTAAAGGAAAAGCCACTTCTAATAAACCATCTGTGATTTTCTTTCTGAGACCTGTAGCCTCTCTTTAGGCCCTTTCTGTCCATGTCACTGTATTCAAACAAAGAAAAAAAAAGGCCTTCTCAGCCCCCTGATTCTACTTTCTACTTATTAAAGTGGGTGGTGGGGAGGGACTGCAAATTAATCCTATCACTTCTTGGGAGAGCGACCTGGCTAAGGGTGATTTTGTTTTGTTGATATCAGCACTTTGGCAAATGTAATAGGCTTCTGATTGATTCTGTGAAAGGAAAGACTAAAGGGAGAATAAAGAGAAAAGAGGTGAGAGATAGGTGCTGATGCTGGAAAGGAATAGGTGAAAGTGACAATAGCAATAATAACAATACTAACATTTGTTGAGCACTTGGTATGTACCTAGATGTGTGCTTACAACATTTTAATTAATCCTTGTGAAATCACTATTGTTACATTTACAAAAAAAAAAAAAAAAAAAAACAGTTGAGTCTACATGAAGTTCAGTGACTTTGGATAGCATGAAAAAATAGGAAAACGATAGGTGGAATGTGAACCTTGACCATCCAGTGGCAGAGATTTTGTGCCTGGGCATTATGCTACAGTGAGAATAAGACAGTGATAAGCGTTTCTGTTGGAGTGTCAGGATTCTCAGACAATCAGTATATCCTTAGTCTGGGTAGTCTACCCCTAACAGATAGTATACCCCTCCAGGGTACTACTAACAGGTAGTACTACAGGTTACTACCTGTTAGGGATAAAGATAGCCTTATAGAGGGTGATTCAGAGGCCTCAGTTATGCACTCATTCATTCAACAGGCATTATCCTATTAGGTTAGAGATTTTAAGCAAGTGAAATAGTGCTTCTACTCATACTTGGCATTTCTTGTCCTTTGGCCTTTTGCTGTGGCAGGCAGAATTCTAAGATGACCTCAATGACTCTCACCCTTATTTCCTCCCCTTGGAGTAGTAAGAGTAGAACCTGAAAATGTGATGAATGTGACATTAGAGCGTGAATAGAGTTGACACTGAGTGTGCTTAAGGTTTTTGACTGTGAAAACATGAAAAGAGAAAGGTGGTCACTGAGAGTGAAGACATCCAGTACAGGGTGTGTCTAGAGATACAGAAGAAAGAGGGAATTTCATGAAACAAAATCCCATAACAATAGCAGATGAGGTGGTTACCACAGGATGGGAATAAAGACAAGATAACCCAGGAACAGAAGTCTTACTGCTTTGTCTATATTCTTTCTACTAAGTAGGAATGAAACGAGGGAGAATCTCATTTACCTAAAGTGAATGGGACATTGTAAGCTTTGTCATAAAATCTGAGGGTTTAATGTCAATGCACATATTTATATACCTGCCACTCTTTAGCCTCTAATACAACCTTAACTTGAGGGTGTGTGCCTAGTAGACATTCAAACTCCTCAAAGTACTATAGTTTCTGGATTTTCTTCTAAGCATATTGTAAAATTGTACTTCTCTCTTCCTTTGCAGTTATGGCTATAGGAGTCGCTTTGCCCGGTTAAATGCCAGCTGTCTCTTCAGGGAAAACACGTTAGAACCAGTTCCCAATCGCTATGTTGTCTTCTCCTCTGCCACAACAATCAGCAGTGATTTAGAGGGGGCTATTCTGCCAGCCTAGGAACTGAAGAGAGAACAACCCAGTAAAATTTCCAGCTGATCCATAAAGAGTATTTCATGACAGTAAGAAACACACCTTTCTTGTTCTAACATATTGGGCTTTGGGAATTGATTGTTACTGCGGCATAATCTAGATCATCCTGACAAAAGCAACACACAAGGAAAAAAACACTTGGCTCCCCATTATTGAGATATTTCCCGAATGGATGAATGAGACCATGCCACGTGTCATGGACCATTAGAACAACTAAAACTGGCAATACAACAGTAAAAACAGCAGCAGCAAACACAATAGTGTCTCCACGAGTAGCCCTCTGTGCTTGGATGGTAATCATAGTCACTGGGAGGGTTACACTGGCTTTTCTAAGAATTCACTGCTCTCTAGAAGCAGGGACTCTCCATCCACATTCCCCATATCGTTTTTCCACAGCTTGTCCTTAGGGTGAAAGAACAAGGGCTTTTAGTTGGCTGGGTTTATGATGCTCTGTCTCACTCCCTCTGCCCTGAAGTAAAGCTGAATTATAAAATAGGGCCAGTCTTATCTTGGGCAGCCATGCAACAATGGTATCTGGAGGTGAGTGTTGAAATATGTCTTGGGGCTTTGGGAAATGTTTTCAATTCAACATTCTGTGATCCTTGTCCAAAGATTCTTGATAGCATCCTTTAGGAGTCACTGAATACAATCAGCACACACACAAAAAAACCCAAAACAATTATTTGCATTCAGATGCCTTAAACTAACAAGTAAAGAAGCAAATATCTAGAAAATATTTTGTAGACTAAGTAAAAATATGACTAATCACATGTATATATAATATATAATAACAGTGTAGTCGTGTATGTTCATAGCTAGTCATATATATTAGGACTCAGAGTCTTTGAGAAGAACATTGCCCAGGTGTCAGAAAATCTGGGTTTTAGTCCAAGCTCATCATTAACCAGGAAACCTAAGATGAATGACCTGGCTTTCTTTGCATTCCCTATTTATACAATAAAACATTGCGCATATAAACTAATTGTTCTCTGAGGGCTCTTACAATTCATATTCTGGGATTTTATTTAGTATGATGCCACGACCTCATCTAATCATAATAACAATAGCTAACATTTCAGTTCCAACAGCTGTGGTGGATTGTTGGCAAAAATAGGGACAATTATTCCCTTCCTTTGTCATATGAGCTTGTAGTTCTATCAAGTGGTAGAATCTAGGCTGGCTTTGTGATTTTCTATGACCAATAAAATAAGGCAGAAGTGGTGTCGTACCAGTTACAAGCCTATGTCTCAAGAGTGTTGCATGTTTCCTCTCGTTATTTTGGAGCACTGCTTTTACCTTATGGACAAGTTCAAGGTAAGCTACTAAAAGATCTGAGACATGTGGCCCATTCAATCTCCATCACTCCAGCCAGTAGTCATCCAACGGCCAGACAATGTAAATTAGACCACCCTAGGGAAACCACCCCCAGCCAATCCACTAGCTGACCTTGGACTCTTGAGCCGGTCCTGCTGAGATCTACCAAGAATAGTTCTGATCGGCAGAGCCATCCAGGTGACCCGTAGACTCATAACCAATACGTTGTTTTAAGCTACTAAGTTTTAGGGTCGTTTATTACATAGATGTAGTAATAGATAATTTATACAACATGTCAACAATTAACTCATTTAAACCTTACAACAAACCAGTTAGAGAGGTATTACTACTATTATTATTATTTTACTCATTCTAGAGTAAAATAATACTACAGAGGAAGAAACAGAGGCAATTTACTTGCCCTACTAGTGAGCAGGTGAGCTGCAATTTTAACTCAGGCTGTCCTGCTTTACAATCTCCATTTTTCCTATGATAAGCACAAACTAGTAAACAATTTCTGTTAATGGTAAGAAATATCTTCCATCCACATACACCTGTCTGCCAACCCACACCTCCATGTAAAAGTGAAATAAAACATATATAAAAATTGCACAGTTTACATTCACGTTACACGTCTTCATCCTCATTGTCTTTGAGTTACGAATGCCAATAATAATTTCACTTATCATCTCTAAGGACAGTCTTTAAAAATCTTCCTTACTCTCATTTATTTCAAAAGCATTCTTAAGAGCAGCAAAAATAAATTCCTTCTCACCCAGAGAAGTTTTATTTCAGAGACCTGGAATCTGAGGAGTCACCCTTTCAATGGAACTCCCCTTCACTCACCCTCACCTCATTAAAGTTTGCACTTCTTAAAGATGTTTCATAGGCCTGGTGTGGTGGGTCATGCCTGTAATCCCACCACTTTTGAAGGTCGAGGCAAGCAGATCAGGAGGCCAGGAGATCAACACCATCCTGTGAAAACACATCTCTACTAAATATACAAAAAATTAGCCCAACGTGGTGGCACACACCTGTAGTCCCAGTGACTTGAGAGGCCGAGGCAGGAGAATCGCTTGAACCCGGGAGGCAGAGGTTGCAGTGAACTGAGGTCGTGCCACTGTTCTCCAGCCTGGGCAACAAGAGTGAGACTTTGTCTCAAAAACAAGCAAACAAAAAGCATGTTTTATAGACATTTCTACCAACTGCTGTTTAAGGCAGAGACAAGAGAGATTATTTCAGTGGGTGTTTCTGGCCATAGCTCAAAGTAATCCTTTGTGTATGCTGCATTGTATAACAGATTACCACAATAACAAATCTGTATAATTTTATTATTTCCATGGGACTAAAATCCAGGTACACCTTATCTGGGGTCACTGGGTCTCTTACAATCAAAGGGTCAGCTAGGGTTGCAATCATCTCAAGATGAATACGAAAGAATACGCTTCCGAGTTCATGCATCTAGTCATTTGCAGGGTTCAGTCCCTGTGGGTAGTCTGACTGAGGGCTTTAATTCTTTGCTGGCTGTTTCTGACCAGGTAGTCATCTCAGTAGGGCAGCTGACAACATGAAAAATGGCTTCATCAGTGGGATTAAATGAGAGGAAAGAGAGAGACAGTGAGAGTTTCTAGTTTTTTCTAACCCAAACTTGCAAATTTATTTCTATTACTTTTGCTGTATTCTATTTTATTCTCTCTTTTTTTTTGTATAGATTCATGGGGCACAAGTGCAATTTGACACACATATATATTGTTGTGGTGAAGTGAAGGCCTACAGTGGAGCAAAGCACATTGAACTCACCAAGTGACCTCCCATCATGACGCCCCTCTTACCCCAGTACCCCTCTGAGTTTTTATTGTCCAACATTCTACTCTTTGTTTCCATGTTTACACATTCTTTAGCTCCCACTTACAAGTGAGAATACTTGGTAATTTTTCTTCTCTGTCTGAGTTGTTTCACTTAAGATTTTGGCCTTCAGTTCCACCCATGTTGCTGCAAAAGACATTCTTTTTTTATGAATGAATAGTACTTCACTGTGTATACATAACTCATTTTATCCAATCTTCCATTGATGAATACTTAGGTTGATTCTATATCTTTGTTATTGTGAATTGTGTTCTGGTAAACATACCAGTGCAGGTATCTTTTTGATATGATTTTTTTCCCTTTGGGTGGATACTTAGTAGTAGAAGTGCTAGATTGCACGGTAGCTCTATTTTTAGTTGTTCCAGAGACAGTCATGCTGTTTTCCATAGATGTTGTACTAATTTACATCCCACCAACTGTGTATAAGAGCTCCCTTTTCTCCAAATGTTCACCAGATCTGTTATTTTTTGTCTTTTACATAGTAGCCATTTGGATTGGTGTAAGATAGTATCTCATTGTCATTTTAATTTGCATTTCTCTGATAATTAGTGATGTTGAACATCTTTTTGTATGCTTCTTGGCCATTTGTGTTATTTTGAAAAGTGTCTATTCATATCTTTGGCCAGTTTTTTCTTAATGAGATTACTTGGGTTTTTTTTTTGTTGTTGTTGTTGTTGTTGATGCTGAGTTGTTTGAGTTTCTTAAAATCTACATATTAGACCTATATTAACCCATTCCCGCATTGCTATAAGGAAATATCTGAGACTGGATAATTTATAAAGCAAAGAGGTTTAATTGGCTCACAGTTCAGCAGCCTGTGAGGGAAGCAAGATGCTGGCATCTTCTTGGCTTCTGGGGAGGCCTCAGGAAACTCCCAATCATGGTGGAAGGTGAAATGAGAGGGTCACTTCACATAGATGAATCAAGAGGAAGGGTTAGGGGTAGGTGTTACTCACTAAGATGACCTGATCTCATGATAACTCACAATCATGAGGACAGTACAAATGATATTAAATTATTCATGAGAAATCATCCCTGTGACCTAATCACTTTTCACTGGGCCCCACCTCCAACACTGGGGATTACATTGTGACATGAGATTTGGGCGGAGGCACAGGTCTAAATCATATGAAGATGTTTGTTGTATGTATAGATTGCAAATATTTTCTCTCGTTCTGCAGGTTGTATGTTGACTGTTAATTATTTTTCTGTGACTAGGGTTAGCATACACTCAGGGGATGAGCTATGCTTAAGGATGTAAATACCAGGAGGTGTAGATCATTCAGAGCCATCTTCAAGTCTGTCTATTATGCCTTGTAAGCCAGATATGTCTTTGAAGCTTTGTGTTTTATCTTTAAAATGTACGAATGGTTACATTGTATGCCAAATTATTATGCCTATGCTTATTTATTTATTTATTTTTTTAGACGGAGTTTCGCTCTTGTTACCCAGGCTGGAGTGCAATGGCGCGATCTTGGCTCACTGCAACCTCTGCCTCCTGGGTTCAAGCAATTCTCCTGCCTCAGCCTCCTGAGTAGCTGGGATTACAGGCACGTGCCACCGTGCCAGCTAATTTTTTGTATTTTTAGTAGAGACGGGGTTTCACCATGTTGACCAGGATGGTCTCGATCTCTTGACCTCCTGATCCACCCACCTCGGCCTCCCAAAGCGCTGGGATTACAGGCGTGAGCCACTGCACCCGGCCTGTCTATGCTTATTTTAACAGAAGGATAATATCTGAATTATTTATTACCTGGACATGATGCATATTGTCTATTCTGTAATTTTCAGTATGCCAGGTTGCAGGCATAAGCTCTGGTTGGGCAAGCATTGCCTGGGTCATTTTCTTATATTTTCAGTTCAAATCAATCTCATCATTTGTGTAAGGGAGAAAAATAAGATCAAAAGGGGACAGTGACTTTCCCACGGTCCGCACTCTCCAAGGCAATGACAAAGTTGAAACTATATCCTGGGACTCTGGGTTTGGGGCCAGAATAGTTTTTTCAAGACTTTGCTTTAGTTGCATCTGGACCACACCTTCTAGCATTTAGCACACACTGCATTTGACGTTCCCTAACCCTGCATGGCACATGTGGCTTATTCTCCCTGTGATGCTGTAATGTCTTAAACCCAAGAACCAAGCCTCGTTGTTCCTGGCACATTGATAGTCACATAAGTCATGTTCAGAGTCCATTTCATTTATCCTTTTGTTTTTAATGTGGGAAGCCTTAATAATGAGGATACTATTATCTATCAGAAAACATTGTTTTTTCGTTAAACTCTTTAGAGGAATCACTCACTCTCCCCTCATGGTTTTTCCCAGGCCCTCATCTTGCTCTCCTGATTCATGATAACAAGCTCCAAACAAGTCCTGTAACTTCAAGTTCTTCTTTATTTGTTTACATTTTTCTCCTCTCTTAAGCTTCCATAGGGTCTTAAAAGCAGACTTCATTTTCCTGCTGTAAATCTAACAGTCCTCATATTTTCTTCAATTATGTATCCAATTCCTTAGGTAGACCAAGTAGGGTCTTCATGTCAGGACCCTGGGTTAGCCTGCAACTTCATCTCATTCCTCTCTTTGTCATGGGTCCCACTCTTCATCCAAATGACACTCCCTAGGTATTTCCTAAAAGGAAGAGTTGTTTGTGCCTCCATGACAATATCTATGTTATGTCCTCAGCTTTGAATCACCTTTCCTCGAGCCTCCTCTCTCTCTTACTCATTCTTCAGGATTTATTTTAAGCATCTCCAGCATTGGAAGCCTTTTCTGCTTCCCTCCTTTCCCAGTCTGCACTTCTACGAAAGCTCTAAGACATTCGCTTCCGCTATTATCATTCCTCCTCTTTACATTTTCAATAGCACAGCCAGGCACCAATAACTACAAGAGTCACAGCAAAAACCACACAACAATGAGCTTTTTTTCACATCATTTACTAAGCTTTTCTGACACCTCAACTAGATGCTATGTATAGTATACGTTAGACTCTTTCTCTTACAGTAACTTTAAGAGATCTATGTGTATGAGCTTTATGAGTAAAGTTATGTCAGAGAAGTTAAGATACGCATGGTCAAAAGTAGATCTGGGATGCCAGTCTAGGTCTGTTTCCTGTTTTCTTACTACACTTCTCAGATTTATATTATTGAGGAAATGGTCAGGTAAAACTGAATCAGCATGACCTTTAGAGCATTGTTTCTGCAACACTCTTGTGAATACCCTTGTGATTGAACAAATTTGTGCAATGTTTGCTAAAAAACAGCAACCTTTGGTTTTTCTAATTGAATTTGAGAATTAATTTGAAATGGCTCCAGGAGGGTGGCTACTAGCAGCATAATATAGGTATCACACAGAACTGTTCTCCTATTTGACTCCATAAAGTTCTTTTCATTGCTTTTGAAACCCTCAATGATCTAGTCCCTGCTTCTGGATTTGGGGTATCAGATGTTGACAGCAGAGGTTTATAACCATTAGCATGAACCTGTAGTGCTTGTTACAATACAATTACTGAACCCCACCCCCAGGGCTTCTAATTCAGTGGTCTGTGGTAGGCCCTGAGAAGTTGCATTTCTAACATGTTTCCAGGTGATGAGGATGCTGCTGGTTTAGCGACCATGGATCATATATTGAAAACCAACAGTTTACAAAAGTTGTCTGGGGATGAGATATGCTAAAGGATGTAAGGAAGGGAGCCAATGGTCACTCTCCACATATTGCTTAGGTTGGTCATTGTTCCGCCCACTTAGAGAACGTAACTACCACTCTGCATTCCCTCACAGCAGCGAGCCTGCTTTCCTAGCAACTGAGAGTGAGTTTTTATGGTCATTTTCAGATAATTCTATTCACTGTTTCACATAATTATTCAACAAATCTGGATATATTTCTTCTTAAATGCGATAATAAGTATCTTTATCATTGTACCCAAGTTTACTTAGGACATCTGTTATTTGCAGTCGAATGCATCCCAGGTGATACGGGCCTTTTGTGTGAGCTTCTAAAAAGCATCATCTCACCCTCCAAGCCCCACTCCCTAAAGGTGTGATTATACTTTTCTTTTTTCCTCTTGTATACTGGAAGAGGGTCTCCTTCTATCTAAGAGTTTGGTTCCATTTATTCCAGCCTCAATGTTCTTATTTCATCATTAAATCACTTTAACACTTGTTCCATCAGCCTCACACTCTTTATCTTGCCCTCTTTGGCATATAAACATGCTCAAGTTTTCCACCCTTAACATAAAATGCTGAAGATGCTATTCTTTGCCAATTCAACTTCAAGACTAAAGACACATTTTTGCAAAGAGATTCTTTACAGCCCAGGAATTGTTGACATTTCTGAAAAGAGGTGTAATTACTGTGAAGAGCCTTAGTGAAGCTCTGCAATGGGGTTTCAGACACAGCAATATTGACCTCTGTCTCCTGGAAAGAAACAGAAGAAATGTCAGAGTCACAAATGTTGGGGAAAGAGAAAGAAGCACGTTATTGTTTACATGAGCTATGGTTTGTAGCTGTACACAGACCACACTTAAAGCTATGTCCAGGGACTTCAAGAAGGTGAAGAGAGAGGTCTATGCATGTTCACTTTCCCACTGTAGAATTTATTCAAGAAAGTCTCCTTTGTTTAAATCAGAAATGATTTTTGGATTAAAAGCAAATAAAAACAAGTGCAAATGCTTCTTTAGCGTTTGATTGAAGTCAGGCATTGCCTGTGCATTTTACAAGCATGGAATGATAAGGTACTTCTTGAAGGAAATACGATGGAATGTAAATTAAAATTCAGTTGTCTTGAACCAATGAGTCATGTCAGTCATAATTCCCATCTCCCTCCCTTTTCCAGGAAGAGTTAACAATGTAGTGTCTCCAGTTTTGATGTCCCATTTCAAATTTCCTGCAAGACCATCTCAGGCGACATGGGCAGCTCTGACAGCCTTGGGACAATTCAGAAATTAAGTTTTAATTGTCAAATTCAGTAGACATACGTCAGTTCCTCATTTACCTACTTCATTTGACACTATCGACTCGTCTCTTCTACAGAAAATTTTATTTCCCCGTTTCCATTCCTCTTCCTCTTTGGCCTTGAAACTGGTCCTCCTTCTGTCCATTTCCAGTCTTTTTATGTCTGTTGCTTCTGTCTGCTCCAGTCTTTTCAGGCTGTTTCTTACGATTTTCTATTTATTAAATGTTTGTATTTTACTTGACCTACCTTGTCCCTGGTCTTTTATTACTCTTTCTGAACTTCCTGGGCAATCTCACCCACTCTGTGGCTTTCACTCCACCAATAAACTGCTCCCCAGTCCTGGATACCCTTTAGGGCAATAATTCACCCAATGAGGCATTTTGAAAATTTGGGGAGATGGTTTTTGATTATGATGATGAATGACAGAGGGACCTACTGGTGTTTAGAGGGCAGGGCTTAGGTGGCCTATACATCCTATAATGCATTGTATAGTCCCTCCCACAAAACGGAGAATTATTCTGTGCGCCACATGATTTTGTCAGGCCAACCTGACAATCATCTAAGTAAAAATCCTGATTATAATTGCATGCATGGGCTTAGAACATATGTCTGTTTTTTATAAAATGCCAAAGTATTTTTTTTTGCTTATTTTTATTATATGCTTGATTTCCAGAAACACAATGAATGCACAAATCAATAAACAATTGTATTTTGTTTTGTTTTTTCAGTGCTTTACTAGGAGTATTTGATCCTAATGGCAATATTGGACATGGTGGTTTCTGGACACTCACCATGACACTGCAGTGACCAGTCTCCCGTCTGGTCTGAAGTGGATCTGAACCCCACATAGTCCCCATGTACAGCCAATACCAGGTTGAAATGGATCATGAGGTTGAGGAACTAAGCCAGTGTTAGGTGGCACAATAGGCTGCCCAAGTAAGAGGCCCTACGCATGCAGGTGGGAAGGCTGTATGTGGTCTGTCTTCCTTTCTGATGAGCTTAGATGAAATATGCAGATATAAAACAGAGATAGATTGCATAGATGTGATTAGTGTGGCTGACAGTTTATGAGATCTGACCACCTCAGGCAGCAGCAAAGGAATCATCAGCAGATGTCAAGATCTTCAGACCCATAGGCAGATGATGCAGAAATAGCTAGTCCTCCTCCTCCTCATCTTTAGGTCAATTTCTTCTCATTTTGGCTTCTTTACTCAGATCCTGTCTGTCTCTGAGCAGCTTGTCTCTTTGATAGGTGGAGGCTTAGATGAACACGGGAAGATTATGGAGCAATATTAAAGCACAAATGAAGCTCTGGAACCAGAGATTTCTCAAGACCTGTCTTTGATGCTCTAACTCTTCTGAGGCCACCTGCTTCTACTGGAATTTAGTCAGGTGGGAAGGTAGGGCACAGTGGAGACTGGGAGCTTCATTAAATAGCTCTTTACCTCACGTCCCTCTCAGGTTTAAAATACTTTAGTGACTCCTTTGCTTGCTACATAAAATCCAAATTCTTTATCTTGGTCTTCCACAGTTTCCAGAGCCAGACAGTGCTCAAATCCCAAATTTACCATTTAATAACCATGTGACCTTGGGAAACATCTTTGATCATTGTGCCTTGTGTTATCTTCCAGAAAATGAAAAAACCAATATTGGAGTGTACTGGACAGGACATATACACTATATCAGATTCTCCCTGGAACTCACTGGCCATATGCATGGAGTCTCTGTCTCTTTCTGCCACTTCAAAGACATGGATAAAATTCCCTACCGCAGGGCATGGGATCTGGTATCCCAAGTTGTCACCAGCAAACCCAGAAGTGTGGGTGAGTTAATACTGATGGAGTAAAATTTGACTAATGGAAAATGAGAGATAGCCGACTGCCAAGCAGATAAATTCCACCTTCTTCTCTCCCGTCCATGAATTGCTGCAAAGCACCATTTCTCCAAAATAGCACAGCCTGTGGGGAGACCTCCCAAGTAGCAGGTGGACACAACTGCTGTGCCTCCTCAAGGCTTGCCATGAAGCAGTGCCCAGCCTGGTAATACATCATCTTGTATTACTTCCCATTATTTCCTCCCTTTCTTCTCACTCCTAATGTCTTGAGTTTTTACTTCCCCAAATAAAACATCAGTATTTCATTTTGGGGCTCTGTTTTCTAGGTGTCTTTGAGGGTGGAGGGAAAAGAGAACTTTAGGGCAGAAAAGGTTGAATTTCATCCTAACTTCTCCTCCTTCTCCCACCTTTCCCAGCTATCTGGACTACCAATTACCAGATATTAAGGGGTCTATCCTGTCCTACTCTTCTGAGGTTGAAGGGATAATGACTATCCCAGAAACCCTGCCAGATAGTTTAGACCTCATTTCCAGGGTCAACAGGCTGTTTGACCCTGGAAAGTTAATACAGAGAAAGGAACTTGGCTATCCTATCAAGTGCAGGGCTGGAGTGCAATCAGGATCAGTCTGCTTCAGAGGTTGTCTCTCTCCTAAGAAATGATGCCTTCTGTAGGTGTTTCCTGAACCCATCCTGGTGGCAATCATGGCCATGTGATGGCTACAGAGATATGAATCAGATCTGGTTTCTATTCTCAAGTTACCATCTTGATCCGAGGGCAGAGAGGTCCACCTAGGTGCAGTGGCCATGGAGAAGAGGGGCCCCTGAAAGGAGCAACCAGAAAGGCCTTCTGGAGGAAGTGACCCTTGAGCCCAGTAAAAGAGTGTAGCATCTAGTAATCTCTCAAATCCTGAAATAAACTGAGCAGGTAAATGAGGAGAAAAGAGAATTCAGGCAGAGGGCATTGGACCTGGCAACTATCCAGGAAAGAGTGAGCCTGCAGGTGTCCATTCATTCATTCATTCAGTAAATATCTTTTGAGCCCACAATACAAAGAACACCAAGGCTATTGTGAAGAGCACCAAACAACTAAAAATGTGTCAAGGAATAAAGGCTTCTCACCTGAGTCAGACCTGAAGGACTCATGGGGGCTAGTGCACTGCCCATTTCTTGGACATATGCCCTTGGTCACGCTCTATGCTGGACACTAAGGATTCAGAGGAGCATGAAGGTGCCCTGCCTCTATTGTGGAGTGGAAAGATCATGGACAATAATTTTGAATATGTTCAGTGCTGCCAAGGAAAAGAGCCAGACTTCAGCGGGATCAAGCTTATTTGGGCCTCCGAGAAGCCCCACAGCTTTGACTGTGCCTGCCCCTGCCTTCCCACCCTTACCCTGAACTTACCTTACTTGGCCACCTTGGTCTGTGTCACTAGTGGCCCTAGCATACTTGAGGTGAACATCCGGATGCCCTCCACCCAATCTCCAAGTGACAGGAGTGGATATGATAGAACAGGGGCAGAAGGGGTTAATTTGTGACCTGTTCACTGGCTCAAGGGATTGAGGTCTTGGGTATCCAAAGTGACTTTCATTTCCACCTGGGCACTGGGTCCCTTCCATGGAGTAAGCTATCTTGGATTTCATGGGTCAGGGCTGATCTCTGTCCCACAGCCCTGTGGGTAGGGTCAGCAGACCAGATTGCTTATTGTTTGGAATGTTAGATGAGAGATCTGGTTGGTGATCTGTCATTTTCACTGAGAGATGGACATGGAGAATACCAGAGTGAGCAAGGGTGTACACTAATTGTGGACAAAACAGGCTCCTACCCTTGCGGAGGTTGCAATTGAGTGGAGGAGGGATGTTACTAGAAATGAACAAAGTGCTGGGAGGACAGACAGTGGAGACTCGCTGCAATGGGCCACGGACTCAGGAAGGCATTTCTTGAAAATTGTGGTTTCAGGTCAGAGTTAAGAAAAACTACGCAGACAAAGTAGGTGCGATAGTGTTTCAAGGAAAAATAAATCTATCCTTTATTCGGAGATTACCCTGTGTGCGGCAGCGACTAAACCTTTTCCAATATCACCCAAAGTCCTGCTTCTGCTGTTTCCTGGCTGTGCAGCTTTGGGCAATTTACTTGTCATTCTGTTGCTTCTGATAGCAAAGGGTATAGAGATAGACGAGTCACAGAGAGATAAGGTTTAAAGCTGCTATCTGGAGATTGGATTAGAGCAGGGCTTTACCAGAGAGAAAAGCACTTCTGTGTTTTTGGTGAGAGGCAGGATGGCCTGGGGCAGGATGTGATGGTAGAGGTAGAGAGAAGTAGAAAGTTATGTTAATGAGAATTGCTTAGTGAGGGAATGGTCAAGAAGGACTCCCAGCTTTCTGGCTTGTGTTATTGTAAGTAATACGTAAAAAGAATGGATGAATTTTATGAATTCATTTTCTACTTATTGTGATTCTAACATACTTGCAAAAACTATTTTGTGCATATTCAATTTAAAGAATAATACTATGACTTATTTACCCCTTAGGTTACTTGAGGAAAACCCTTAGGTTACTTGAGGAAAAGACTTTATCAATACACATAAAGCCTTTGAGTCCTCCATTCTTCTCCCCAGAGGTAACTGCAATTCCGAATTTTTGTTAATCTTGCCTTTCCTATTTATTGTTTTTACTTACATATATATGAGTAAAACATATATATGTACAAATATACATATATATATATTGCTAAATAATATAGTGATTGGTTTTGTATGATTTTTGAATTTTATGTTTATTCTATTTGGGGTTCATTGAACTTTTTCAGTACAAAGGTTTACAGTTTTAATAAAATTTGGAAAAAAGTAATAATAATATGTAATTTGAGTCACCAGTTTAACATATTGTGTTAGTTTCCATTCAAAGGGATTTTACTTATTTACACCAATGTGTCTCATTTTCTTATTTCAAAGTGAAAAACAGTTTTTAGAAAACTCATTAAGCTGAAAACCAAATGCCGTTAATTTTTTTTTAATCAAAACTGTTACATGCTTGCTTTCCCTCACATTGCTAGCCTTAGATGATAAGGGAGGGATAATACATAATTAAAATTAATAAATATTAGAAATCCGTAAATAGCATTCATTAATACCAGACACTGTTTTAAGGACCTGGCATATTTTAACTCAATCCTCACACTAACCCTAAAGAGATGACTATTGTGCCCATTTACATACAATACGGAAGCTGAGCTGTTTGCCTACAACCCAGAGGTTAAGTAATTGTCCCAAGGACAAATAGCTTGTTGGTGAACCACAGTACACACTCTTAAATCACCATTTCACATTAACTCTCCCACGTTTCATTAATCTCTCATACTCAAAGGTCTTTGCATCACCAGGAAATACCTTTGAGTATGAGAGATTAATGAAATGTGGGAGACAATGAATATCAGCATTCCAGAAAATCCTAGAGAGACACATCACATCAAAGTATGGCCTTTACAACCTGGATATGCCCGTTGCAAGTGGACATGAGCATTAAGAGCCAGGATATCAGTAATTACTATGAAAAACTTAAGTCCAAGTTGACAGAGCTTCTTGCCACACAGCCAAGAGAACAGTCTGACATGAAATGTGCCTGGTGCTGTGTTTTGCCTATTCCAGGAGGCTCTCCAGACTCTGTTAATCTGTATATTTAACCTTAAATTTTCCCACGACATGGATTATTCTTCCTAGTCATTAAGGATAGATAACTTGGGTACAAGTTTATCTAAAGCTGGCTTCAGTGTTTCTGATGGGTTCTACCACTGGATGCTCCCTGTGTTTAACCCACTGTAGTCCATGGGCCTACCCTCTCCATCGCAGACTTCAGAGACCCCAGCCAAGTTGCAGGTCTCCAGATTTCCTTTTAGCTAAAATGAGACAAAGAATGTCACCAGATTTTCTTCTCTGTGCAACAGAACACAAAGTGCTGAAGTGAGTGTCTCTAAAGATTCTTTCTTGCTCTAATGACGAACACTTTGTTTTTTCTTTCAGTCTTATAATTTAAGTTAATAGTGTTTATGACAATATGTAATAAATACCATAAAAAGTATAAGTCATTCTGGGTGTGTTAGCTCATTAAAACAAATGCTTGCTGGATTCTGTAGCAAGCTTTAGAAACATGGTGCTAACTCATGTAAATTGCCATGACAAATGTGCTTGAGAACCAATAAAGTGTGTACTGACTCATTAATAGTCAAATCCAACATCTCCCTGTTGGTTCCCAAGAAAAGTCAAGTGAAGATCGGTGGAAGAGAAATCGCTGCCTGAATTCTGCCACCCTTCAGGCATTCTGATTAGCATGTGTGATTTGGTGCCTGTCTTTTGTGACACTGTGCACCTGCCATATCACCCTTGTGTTTTTGATCCTACAAGGTCTGGAAAGGCCTCATAGCTTTCTTCCTGCCAGTGCCTTATGTGGAGTCTTCAGATTTATGCACACTCCCCAGACTCCTTCTGGCAAAAAAAAAAAAAAAAAGGTTTAAGGGGCTCAGAAGGAGGTTGCCAGATTAAATTCTGCATAGGTGAGTGGCAATAGAGCCAGTCCAAATGTTAAACAAGCTTATCTGCTGCCTCAGAAGCACCCAAGAACTACAGGCATAAATATGCAATAAAGCTGCACTGAGGGGAGGCAAGCTCATGCTTTATAATGCATTTCTGTCTTACATAGCATCGGAGAGTCCAGACGCAGCCCAGATAGTGGCTGCTTGGGTATTGCTGGGAAGATTACTCAGCAAAACTACGATCGGGAGTTACAGGAATGATTTTGGAAAAGGTTGGGTATGTTGAAATTTATCTTTGTTGTTCCTTTTGCTGTCAAGCTTTGCTGTTTAATTTCATGTTATATAAACTGCTTAAAAATTAAGGATTAAAAGATTCATTCAACAGAGTCATATGATCCTGAAGTCCACAAATCTCTAAATCTTAGTTTTCTGTGGAAGCTCTCTCACCCTTTATGCTTTTACAAGAGTTGACCTTCTCTATTGCATCCAGTGTGGATGATGTGGTTGTTGTCTCATATCTGCGAAGCACATTAAAGTTTAATGCACACGTTCATGGGAAATCTTTGATTGAATCCTCACCACTGGGAAAACACTGAGAAAACATACTTCCCATTTTACAAGTGAGAAAAATGAGACTCAAGGTAGCTAAGAAAATTGTCCAATATCTTATGGCAAGTAAGTGACAGAGATGGACACTAAATTCATGTCTCCTAATTTTAAAGTCTTATGCTTGACTTACTCTATTGTTGTATATACTTTTTTGAAGTAAGTGGTGGAAATAGGGGATTCTCTCTTTCCTTTAATACTTCCACCTCCTGTATCCTCACCTTTTCTTGGGAGTAGATCTTGACGATCAGGCACTGGCTTATGTAACTTTGTCTTTGCATAAGACATATACATGCTAAATGACAGCACACAAGCAACCTATTTTAATGCCTACTTGATGCAGAATTTACCAGGTATCTGTGAGAACAACGGATCTATACAATTGAATTAGTCGATCAAAATATTTTATAAAGTGCCTATTACATGCTAGACATCTGTTATCTGTTTTTTAAAATGCTTGGAGAAACCAGACTTTTATAAATATATTGACCAACTCATCTTTCCACTCAATCATTAATTAGCTTAAATAATTTAATTGCTAAATCACACAATATACAATGTAGTATCTGCCTCCAAAAGAAGACAAATAAAAGAAGAAAAGAAAAAAACCTCATCAAAGGAAACATATAAAAGCCCGCTGGGCCAAGTTTGTTCAAATTGAGACTAAAGATTGTCTATTTGAAAGCTTATCAGCTCCATTTTCTCCATCCCAGTGGCAGTCAACTACTCACTCAAGACATTTATACCCAAGATGTAATGTTAAGTTTGTATGATGACCAGAGCTAGAATTGCCTTGGCATATTAGACTGCTTTCCTGGCACGCTTTTCTCCTGTCTTTCATGCCAGTGAGTATAACTTTCCTCCGGTATATTTCTTTCTTTTTTTTCCATTCCTAAAGTGCACAATCTCATACAAACAGGAAAAGCTTTGACAGTAACTTTGAAAGGCTTTTTTATAAAAGCTTTTTAAAATTTACTGTTATTTTCAGGTATAGCTATCAGCCTGTACTAGTATACCTATTTGATGGAGTTTAATACTTAGAAAAAATAAAATATGCTTCATAAAATGCTGGTGCAAAATCAACTGCAGGAAGCAGTTTCTAAAAAAAAATCCACCAAAATTTATTAGCATTGATTTTTTTAAAAATTATTCCATTTTTATTAGATTTATATTTCAATTTTATGCTTTTTTATTAAGAGACTGCATAAGAATAAATATGCAAAGATCTTAATTTAACAAATAGTGAATGCAACTGTGTGAAAGCATTACTGTAAAAATGAAATAGTTGCCAAAAACCTATGGGACAAATAGGAAGAGCTAATGTCTACTGGGACCTTACTAAGAACCAGGCATAAAGTCCACATGCATTATTAATCCACTTACCTTCCCAACTTTTTTTTTTTATTTTGAGACAGTTTTGCTCTTGTCGCCCAGGATGGAGTGCAATGGCACAATTTCAGCTCACTGCAACCTCCACCTCTGGGGTTCAAGCAGTTCTCCTGACTCAGTTTCCTGAGTAGCTGCGATTACAGGTGTCTGCCCCCAGACCCAGCTAATTTTTATATTTTTAGTAGAGACAGGGTTTTACCATGTTGGACAGGCTGATCTTGAATTCCTAATATCAGGTGATCTACCCTACTCAGTTTCCCAAAGTGCTGGAATTACAGGCATGAGTCACTTTGCCTGGCCCAAAAATTCTTTAAGATAGGCAGCACTGTTACCTCATTTTATAGCCTGACAATTTTTGCATATGGAAATTATGGAATTTCTGTAACAATCCTGAGCTAGTCAGTGCCAGACCAGAGATCTGTGAATTCAAAGCCAGCTTGTGTGAATCTGACTGTTAGTATTCTCATTAAGGAATCTTGGGCCTGTTGAGATTCAATTGTCACCTAATTTGGAAAAGACACCTTTGTCCCCTCTTCCCTTAGCTTCTTTCCTCAACAAAGAATGAAACATGTAGAGACTATTTAAAACACAGTTAAGCTACTAGGTTCTTTGTATCTACAAAAATGTTCAAACAGGCTTTTCAAGAAGGAGTGAGTTAAATGTGAGAGTTGATGGGACCCTAAACATGGCCAGGTTTAAAGACATATAGAACAAAATCAATTATTGGGTACGGAAGCAGCATATCTGTGCTCAAGTTAAATTAAAGTGACAAGGGATAGTAGAGGGTAGATGAAGTTTGAGTTGAGGTACAGGTGGACTAAAAAAGTAGTGTAGAAAGATTAACAGATTAAAAAAAAGGCAGGTGGGTGAAGACAACTGTACATATTGAAGAAGCTGAAAACAGTGGGTTAGTGGGTGTGAGGATTACATTCATCTAGGAGGAATTGGACTAAGGGAGAAAGGTGTTAATATGTAATCTTTTAATCCCCAATAGAACCTGGATTTCAACTCATTATGACTTGGCTTCCATTATTTGACGCAGCAAGCCACCTAAGAGTGGGTTCTCTCTCCTGCATCTATCATTTTAAACTTCCTAGGAAATTATTTTCTGACTTCATTACTTGACAGGTGTATTAGTTTCCTGTTGCTCCTGTACCACAAAGCTGGTGACTTACAACAGCATAAATTTATTGTTTCTCAGTTCTGGAGACCAGAAGTCCAAGATCAAGGTGTTGGCAGGGCCGATTTCTTCCGGAGACTCAGAAGGAGAATCTGTTCCAGGCCTCTCTCCTAGTCTCCAGAGGCTGTAGATGACCTTTGGTATTCCTTCGCTTGTAGATGTATCACTCTAGTCTCTGACTCTATCTTCACATGATCTCCCCTCATTGTGTCTGTATGTCTTTATATATATCCACATGGTAGTATTCCTGTGTTTCTGTGTCTGTGTCCAAATTTTTCTCTTCTTAGAAGGATGCTAGTCATATCAAATTAAGGTACTATTCAATGACCTCATATTAATTTGATTAAATCTGCAAAAACTCTATGTCCAAAGGAGGTCACCCGTACAGGTACTGGGTATTTAGGATTTCAACGTATGTTTTTTGGGCAGACACGATTTGACTTCTGACAGTGGAGTGAGATCTGATGTTTCACTACATACTAGATTTTCACATTTTACATCTGAGAAAAACAAGTATTAGGATGTTCAAACATCAGGTTTTACTGGCATGATTTTAATCCCAGGCCTAAGTCCTAATGAAATTTTCTTATTCTGCCATTCCAGAAAACTTTTTTAACTAATGCTCATGGAGTCCCCTAAAAGGCCATAATAAAAGATGTGGTTTAGGGAATGGGGCTAAGGAAGGTGAGGATTGGGGTAACAATTATTTCTATTTGTATCAATGGCACTTTATACCACCCAGTACTGAGTAGATGCCCAATACCTGTTACATCAATGCAGAAAATTTCACAAAGCATCACGGACACTGATAACAATGAAGGACTGCTTTTGAGAATTCAAATATCTCACCAATAATTTTCACACTCTCCTCCTGGTACACCGTACAGCACACTTATCTGAAAATTGGCTTCCAGATTCAATTTCTCACTAGAGGTCTGCCTTCACTTCACCACTTAATAGAAAGCTCTACAGGATGCCTTACTTTCTCTTCTAAAGCACTATCTTTAGAACAGAGGCTACCGCACAAAAGAGATCTGGTGTCAAACTCCAGCCCCTTTCCTTGCTGGCTTTGTGATCTTGGGTAACTTATATTAATCTTGCTTAACCTCATCTTCATCTATAAAGTAAAGAAAAAGATAGCCACTGTGAGGATTAAATGAACAAATCTATGTAAAGTGTTATAGAATAAAACCTGGTAAACAGAATGTGGTATGTTATTATCATAAGTGTTCCATGTACTAGGTTTGACACATTGTATGTGATTTTACATATAATGTTCATAGCACTTTTTGAGGTAAGTGCCACATTTTCCCCCATTTTGCAGACAGGAACTGACACAGAGGGACTGAGGACCTAGGTTAAGCATTCATGGCTTCAGAGGGGTAGTGAAAGGGATGGGACAGGTTGGACTTAGGCCTGTCTGACTCTAAAGGCTTGTTTTTTAACCTTCTTGTCCTGATATAGTGCATTATTTTAGGGAGCACAAAGAAATGTGCTTTGGTTTAACAGCAGATAGAAAACAGTCTGAATTTAACTTCACAGTGTTTGTTTAGATACTGACTTCTTACCACAAGTACAATAAAAACTGATAAATAGGCAAGCAAACAAACAAACCAACCTGCTTTTTCTTAGTGGGAAGCGAACATGGCTAGGAACCATCTGTATCTTTCTCCCACCCCAGCTCAATCCCTTCCCCATGACACTATCAGGACTCTCATGGCCCCTCCTGGGTAAAACAGTGGCCCTTTGGGTAACCACCAGCCTGCAAGAACAGCAAGGCTTCAAATGAGGTACTGACTAATTTCAGTTACAAGGAGATTTTAAGCATTTCACCAAAGCACAATATACATAAAGTGACCAAAACAAATGGGAAAAGTAGGGTGAAGAATCACTGGTGAGTGAGTTACCAAATGTAACACAGGCGATATATAGGAACAGTTATCTAAATCCAGGAGGTTGACAAGCCAGGCTAGCAGGTGTTGATGAAGAGGAGGAGCTGCAGAAACAAGGAGGGATCCCTGGAGGAAACCATTTGTGAATGGCTTTGATTTAGCTCCCCTGAGGTCCCTCTGCAGCTCATGAAGTAGCAGACCTCAGATTTAAAATCAGATACCAATGGGTCAAGGGCATTCCCAGGAACCCCAGTTCCAAAAGCCACCTGCTATGGTCTAAATTTTCCCCAAAATGTATGTGTTGGAAACTTATCCCCAATGCAATGGCACTGGGAGCTGAGTTCTAATAGGAAATGTTTAGGTCATGAGACCTCCTTCCTCGTGAATGGATATTGCCATTGTAGAAAGTGTTCATAGGATGGGTTCACTCTCTTCTTCTCTTCTGCCATATAAGGACATGTTAGCCTCTGCCCTTTTACTTGCCATGTGAGCATGCAGCAAGAAGGTCCTCACCAGACACCAGATGCCACAGATACTGGACTTTCTAGACTTCACAACTACAATTAGTTTTTATTGTACTTGTGATGAGAACTCAATATTTAAAAACAAAACAAAACTCTTTTTAAAAATAAGTTATGCAGTCTCTGGTAGTCAGTTATGGCAACCCAGAACTAACTATGACAACCGCTGTTCCCTACTCACTTGTCTGATCACCTCAGAGGGACAATCAACATGAGGCCAGATGAATTTACATTGAGGATGCTACAAAACATAAACACTACCTATTGATATAGAATGCATGAGCCTACCTTCCCATAAGAAATTAAAGCATTTTGGTCTGCCCTGCAACCAGAATTCAATTATTATAGGCAGATCTATGGTGAAAGAAAAAAGAAGAGTTAAGTAATGAATGGGAGTCACAAGAGTACATTGGTGAACTTGGTTTCAATTACCCCAAGCATTAAGAAAGGTAGGGCTCCAAATTTTGTAAAAACTAGTTTATTGCACATGTTAATGGAGGAGGTGATAAAGGCTGTAAATTTTCTGCATACTTGGTACCATTTACTTAAGAAAACTTGAAATATAGTTTTGTTTATAGGTGGACGATTTATTCAGGAAAAATGTTGAAAGAGGTTCTTTGATCTGCTTTTTCAGATTAAGGAGTTTGGTAAATCAGATGACTAAACAACCCACATCTTTAAAACCTCAATTATAATTTTAGACTGCTATAGCAGAGATATAGATTCACCAAACTTGATGTAAAAAGACAGCATATATTTCAATTCTGCTGATTGGTTTCAGAAAGCAAAGCCACTCAGGAGAAAGCTGGACATGTGGATTGAACAGATGGTGACTTGAGACTATAGCCAATCCGCATTGCTAAACTACCCTGAAGTCAATGGAATCGCAGCTGTCAAAGAATTGTAGAGCCATTCAGTGGAAATGAAAACCTAATTTCAGAAACAATTCATAGGTTTGATGGACATGAATCACACCTTATGTTTTTGTGTCTGCCTTTAGGTTCTGACTCTATGGGTATGTCTCAGTCATTTAGCATCTGCTCTATCTTTGAGACTGAGTTTCCAGGAGACCTAATTCAACCAGAAGCAAATGACAGTTGCCAAGAAGCTGGCAAAGCATAAGAATTTGGGAAATGGATAAAAACATCCCAGAGACATCCCACAATTAGTAACTATGTGAACAGATTCTAAAATATTGGGTCTATTAGGCTTCGTGGGAGGGTTTTCCCTTTGGAAATGACTGAAATGGAGACTTTGAATCACTTTCAATGATACAAGCTTGACATGGAGATGGTGCTTCACAGAATACACCACTTTTCAATAACTGTATTCTTATTGAATTGTTCAAAATTGGTCAGTAACTAATTTAGGCCTCTAAGAACAAAATTCATTAGGTTTATTTAGCCTATTTTTGCATTACTGCTACAAAATCCAATAGTTTAAATAACAAGCTGAATACTTTTGATGTTAAAGGTCAAAATTCCATGAAGATTTTAGATCAAGACAGCTAGCACTGAGAAAAAACGATGCAGATTTGTGGTAAAATCTGTTCATACATTTGTTGAACCGCCAATGCGTTTGACCATCACTGGTGAAGAACTTCTAATGCTGACTTCCATCATTACCAGCTATCGACTATCCTACAAAAAAACAGTTGTGTTTTTGGCTTCACCACTCCCTCTAAGCTGTGATTCTGTTTTTTCTTATTGTTGATGTTCTTTGTTTTTAATACGAGCAATACTTGTGTTTTATACTTTAGTTGTAGTTTCCTTAATCATAGACTAGACAAAAGAAAATTGGCTTTGTTTCCTAATAACCCTAGGAAGTTCAAAACAAAAAATCCCTTAGAAGCCATTATCAGAATTGTAGACCATCACTGTGAACTATGGCCCTTGTCATGAAAGTGTGACATCCTAGAGTAGAAAACCAACCTGGGTTTCAGAGACGGTTTCACTACTTTATCTGAAATGTTGTTTTAGCTGCTATGGCTCCAACAAGGTAAATATGGCATTTTTATTTAATCTAAATATATTTCTTCTTTTTTTTTGTAAGCTGTGAAAAGCCAATGATCACATTTCATTTCTAGCCTTTCATGAGGTTTAAATTACACAAACAAGAAATATTTACAATGTCAAATGCTGGAAAGTGTTGGGAGTCAGAAGTGATTACTCAGAATCAGTAATTTTTAATGACAAGTCAGAAATTAGAGGAAGAGATGAAATGCTATGCCCCCAATGGCTCTGACAGGTTAAATAACCATCTTGCATCAGTTGGGACCTTTCTGAGAGTCCAGGATGCATAATTTAAAAATAAATTAATAAAAATCACTTTTGAAAATCAACATAAGACATGGCAGGAAATGGAAGAAAAGAGAAGCAAGGGATGCCTTCTAACAGACATTAAGAACAAGCCAAAATGCAGTATTTGCTTAAGGGTTTTGCTGCTCATTGTGTCAAAACTGTCACAGATTTAAATTTTTTTTTTTTTTGAGACAGAGTCTCACTCTATCACCAGGCACTAGGCTGGAGTGCAGTGGCACAATCTCGGCTGACTGCAACCTCCGCCTTCCAGGTTCAAGCAATTCTCCTGCCTCAGCCTCCTGAGTAGCTGGGACTACAGGCTCACGCCACCACGCCTAGCTAATTTTTGTATTTTTAGTAGAGGCAGGGTTTCACCATGTTGGCCAGGATGGCCTCAATCTCTTGACCTCATGATCCGCCCGCCTTGGCTTCCCAAAGTGTTGGGATTACAGGCTTGAACCACCGTGCCAAGCCTTAAATTTTTTGAAATGAGGAAAGTGAATCAGGCAGACAGGTAAGTAGAAAAAGTTGCGTGAAACTCAGTAGTACTGAAAATAAACAGTTGTACTTCTCTGTGAGTGCAGTTAAACTGATTCAAATCTCAGAGTTCTACTGGAAGAGTCGATATAAAGCTCTTGTAGTTGTTCAACTGTCTTTTGAGTGGGCAAAAATTTTCACATATCATGTTTATTGATCATGATTTTTTTTTTCTTGGACTGTTAAGATCAGTACACACTTTGCCTCTGACCTCTACAAAAAAGCAGAGAATCTCATGGTGTGAAGTGCATGTGGTCTATAAAGTTCATGAAGAAGGAACCCTTTCTGTTGTTTGTGACACAGTCCTACATACAGTAGAACCGGACACAGCAGAGTCTCAAAAAGCGTATGTCAAATGAATGAAGAAAGGATCAACTGACTTTATCCTTTTTTTCTAACTTTTTATCATTTTCTTCTCTTTTCTACTTATTTGTATTTTATCTTATTTCTTTTATATGCAATTGTGAAATCCACCTCAAATCAAAAGGACATGGAAGGAAATTTCAGATTTCAGGTAGCTATAAATAATACCCCCAAGAACCATTGAGGGCAAGATGCAGAGAAAGTCTGGGACAGAATATGACTTTAGGTTTATAACTGAATAGACTTGCTTATATTTTACCCCAAAATGCCACAGGCTCCCCTGGAAAGGGCTGAGCTGATCCTTTTTAATTACTTCTCACATGTTCACCTCTTGATAAACTACACCTCTTCTGCTGTGGTATAATGACTAATTTTATGTGTCAACTTGACCGGGATAAGGGATGGCCAGAAAGCTGATGAAACATTATTTTGGGGTACATCTGTGCAAGTGCTTCTGGAAAATATTAGTATTTGAATCAGTAGACTGAGTAAAAAAGATCACCCTCCGCAATGTGGGTGGGCATCATTCAATTTCCTGAGGGCCTAACTATGGTAAATTCACTCCCTCTGAGCTCGGATATCTATCTTTTCCTGCCTTTGCACCTCAGTGCTTTTGGTTCTTGGGCCTTCAGACTCAGACTGAATTATACCACTGGCTTTCCTGTTTCTGCAACTTTCAGATAGCAGATCATGGGAATTCTTAGCCTTCATAATCTTGCAATTCAATTCCTATAATAAATCTTCTCTTATGGTTATATTTAATAAAATACTCTTTTATAGATAAATGCGGAGTGCTAATAACAAAAATGAGTCAGGTTGGTGGGAGTAGAGGAAAGCAAAAAGAAAAAGGAGATAAGATATAAATCTGCCTTTTCCATGGGCCAGGACACAGAGCCCTCCTGCACAAATAACTCATAATCATCCTTCACCCGACTTATCACCAGACCCTTGGCTTATAGAAAAATGCAAGTTAGCTCACTGCAACCTTGATGTTATCAGTACTGCATGAAGCCCTTTCCAGCACAAGCACCATCCTACAAAACCCCCAGCAAGCCTTTGTCTCCTTCCAATCAGTTCCTCTCTTTCCTCTCTTGCTGGCCTGACCCTTGCATCCTTGCAACATATTTTCTATATTTTTAAAATTTGTATGTTTGAGATGGAGTCTTGGTCTGTCACCCAGGCTGGAGTGCAATGGCATGATCTTGGCTCACTGCAACCTCCATCTTCTGGGTTCAAGCGATTCTCCTACCTCAGCCTCTCAAGTAACTGGGCTTACAGGTGCCCACCATGGCTGGCCAATTTGTTGCTGTTGTTCTTGTGGTTGTTGTTGTTGTTGTTTTAGTAGAGTTGATGTTTCAACATGTTGACCAGACTGGCCTCGAAGTCCTGACCTCAGGTGATCCGACCACCTTGGCCTCCCAAAGTGCTGGGATTACAGGTGTGAGCCATCACACCTGGCCCTTGCTATATATTTTCATAATTCCCCCCCACCCCCCAAATCTTCCTTTCTTTATCTATAACTATCTTGGTAATTTCCTTTACTGCCCATGCTACCAGATCCAGTTCGTTGCTACCCATGATGCTATATTTTTAAGAGAAAGCTATGTTTCTCTGGAGAAGCCGAAAGAACGTTCTTTTTCTCTGGAAAACCCTGATGAATATACGTGGGAAGCAGTGAGAGTTAAGAGAGGTCAACACTCTTGGTCTAGTATAAGTCTCTTCTTTTGGAAACCAAAGATTTCAGGGGAGTGAAAATTCTTCCAAAACAGGTATACACAAAGAAATGGAGGAAGACAGGGAGAAAGAGAAAATCTTCCAGAAAATAAAAATATAAAATCAAGTAATGTCTGATTATTCCATCAAGGTAGCTAGCATAAATGGCACGCCTCTGCCCCATCCCTCATTCCATTTCAGCAAGTGCTTTCTTTCTCACATTGACTTTGGATTTCTGCTCCATTGTCTTTATATTCTTTCCCTCTTCCTGGCACAAGTGACATTTAAAAATTACTTCAAAAACTGACAAAGATATCAAGCCTATCATTTGCAGTTCAAACATTCATTGTCCCAATATAGATGTAATTACTAAGTAGCTTCCAGGCCATCAGGTTGAGAGAAAATCTGTGGCTATCACTGGGAATCTACTCTTGTGCAGAAGCAAATCCTGAAACCTTTTTTTTTTTCTTTCAGATGCTTAAGGTGAAGAGAGAAGCTGGAAACCTGAATTATTTCAATTCATTCACCAGCTATTCACTGACTTTTTACCATGTATAAATCCTGATTGACCTCAAAAAGAGTTATATTAAGTTTGATTATTACACATCTTTAAAAAAAGATATCCAAGATACAGCTATCAAAAGATGGCCCAGGATCAACTGCCAAATGATCTATGTGGCCCATATCTGATGATAGAGTAGGGAATGCAAAAAACTACTTTCTTATGCAAAAATTATACCTGTCACAAAGAAAAGATAAGCAGGAGTACTGGAGTTTATGGGACATTAAAAAGAGTTCATTATTTTCTGAAGTCTAAAAGTTTTTTTTTTTCCGAAAGATAAAAGAAAGTGAACATGTAAGGGTTAATCAAGAACCTGAGCAAACATTCAACAGGTGGTATTCTTTGTAGACTTCAAAGTCCCTACGAATATGTTTTTCCTAAGTAGTAAGAGGAGAAAATAAGAATTTAGTCTAACAAAGAATAAAGACAGCTGCAAGCTATGAATAAACATACCAGAGGATACAAGCGTATTATGCTTAAGTTCTGTTCCAAGGCTTTCATTTTTCTGAAAATATAAATGAAGTTCAATTAAATTAATATTTTTGCAATTTTTATAAGATATTATTTTTCTTTGTAAAAGCTGATATTGAGTACTGAATTCTCTGAGATCTAGCAGTCCACATCTGGAAATGAGTTACTACTTAAAGCAAGAACTAATGGCTCCTCGGAGAAAACGCAGACGATAATGTCAACCGACCCCTAGAGGCCTTACTACAAATCGAATCTAGTTAATGAAGAGATGCTGGATGTCACTCCATACCTGTTTTTAAAGATTATATACAGGTATTTAAAAGACTTTTATTTGGAGACACTCATGCCTGGCTTGCTTTTCTAAATGACAAATGAGTCTTCATTAATCTTCAGGCATATTTCTGTATTTCCAAGTCCTTCTTTCTCTCTCTCTTTCTTTCCCTCTCTCTCTCTCTTCCTTCCTTCCTTCCTTTTTTTCTTTCTTTCTCTTTCTTTTCTTTCTTTCTTTTTTCTTCTTTCTTCCTTTGAAAAAATTGCCAATTAGGTACTAGGTATTTTCAAATCTTAAACAGGGTTATTTACCATCTCTGGTGCCAAGCAAGCTGTGAGCTCCTTGTGTGCCCATTGTACCCAGCAGCAGACACAACGTCTGGCATAGAAGTAGGTGACTCAGAAATGTGTGTTGCTTTGAATTGATTCTCTCTGTTAGTACAAATGATATTTAGAAAATGTTCTCGGCCCAGGATGAGGCAGACAATAATAAAAACGCATTTGACATTTTTGCAGCTTATAATAATTAACACATACTTTCATGCACATTATCTTAATGAAACCTTCAAACATTAGTGAGTGAGGCTTTATTATCATTTACATTGATGAGGTGACTGAATCTAAGGGACTTAATGTAATAAAGTAGAGGTTCAAATTTAATTCTTTTGATTTCAATCTCAATGACCTTTTCATTGACTCATTGCTGCTTCTGATTATACAGATAATGAAGTGAAAAATCAGTAACCTTTTAACACTTGTCTCTCAGTGTAGAATTGTTGAACCTGAGAAAGGGAAAAGGCATCAGATATAACTGCAACTAATCAGTCAAAACCTTAGAAACTAGTTGAGTTATGAAGGGAATTGGGGTTGGGGGTGAGGCCTTGATGTATCAGCTCCTGGAGAGCTCCTTAAGCCAAATCGCTAGACCAATCAGGTGCCAGGAACAGAGATCAAACCCAAAAAGGAGAGACATTCTCTTGGCTGACAAACTAAGAGAGGTAGAAAGACCACTAGGATGGTACCTAGGATACGAGATGAACCTTGTGAGAGCTGAGCATAAAGTTTGAAGTGAGAAGCTTTCATGGAGAAACACAAGAGGAAGTGAACAAGATGGGATCTGGTAGACAAACAGTTAGCTCCACTTGACTGGGCCTAACGACAGAGGTCTAGTTTATTCCACACATAGTTTCCATCTTGATGCACTGCTCAAGACTTGACATCACTCTCATTCAAATGAGACAGGAGGATAAAGAGGCAATATAAATTATTAACCTAAAAAATGATCATTTTCTTTCTACTCATCAGAAGATACATGGCAGTTAGCCTGGGAACCATGACCTAGTAAATGTATGCTTTGATAAATAACCTATCTTCCTATTTGGAAATAAGCATATGTTGGTGGAACTATTTAAAGTTCTCCAGAGAAACAGAATCAAGACAGTGTGTGTGTGTGTGTGTGTGTGTGTGTGTGTGTGTGTATGTGTTTATATATAAATACATTCATTATAAGAAATTGACTCACACAATTATAGAGGCTAAGACCTAGTAAAGTGATTACTTAGTTTCAATCTGAGTATGAGTCTGAAGGCAGGAGAAAACCAATAGCTCAGGTCAAAGATCGTGAGGCAGACAGAAATAATTGTTACTCTGCCTTTTATTCTATTTAAGTCTTCAACAGATTGGAGGAGGCCAGCTTCCATTGGGAAGAGTGATCTACTTTACTCAAGTCTACTGATTTGGATGTTAATCTCATCCAGAAACACCCATAGACATACCCAAATAATATTTAACCAGTGTCTGGGCAATTTGTGGCTCACTCAAATTGACACATAAAATTAACTGTCACATGCTGTTTCTAGACAAAACAATGAAAGCGACTTTAAGGGTGCAATAGATGAAAGGTTATGAGAAGAGAAGATGAGGCCCTGAAGGCAGGTACTGGCAGTCTTGCAAGTTTGCGGTGAGCTGGTATTGAGAGCATTGGGAGGGCAATAAAACAGTGGTTAAGAACACAGACTGCTTGGGTTTGCCTCTTGTTTCTAACACTCATGAGCTGCATGTTTTGAAAACTCTTTGTAACCCAATTTTTTCTTTCTTTTCTTTTCTTTTTTTATTTGTAAACTTCAGATAATGTAGTACCTGCCTCCTGGGTTGTAAGCTTTAAAATATTTAAATAATATATATGATTCACTCAGAGCAGTAAACTCTCAATAAATTTTGAATTTTATATGGGAGAAGGATTTGGGGAGATAAGGCATTCTGGGAAAGTATAGTAACTGGCAGTAGTATAAAACTAGATTGAATATCACACTCTTAGGTCAAGGGTATTTCTTCATGGCCTACTAGTCTAAACCTTTGAGTATGACGTTAAGACTGTACAATACATGACTGCATCTTTGACACACATCACTTGCTTACTTCTTCAACTTACTGTTCCAAAGGAAGAAAGGTACCTGGTCTAATTTACCTATTAATTCAACAAAGAGCTATTGAACATCGACCCTATGCCATGAGATGTTCCAGGCATCAAGATACAGCAAGTTCCTGCCCACAGGGAGCTTCCTTTCTAGTAAGATACACTTCAGTAGTTGTTAATGTTTATCTCTGTGCTTCCTGGCTGTTGTGCTTCTTTCATAGATGATTAGGAGGTAGAAATCCAGGCTAGGTAAGAATGTTGCAAAGGTAACAGGAAAATGGCCAATCAATTTCATTGGCTATCTGTCTAGGTTGAAAGATCTTAGGCCTTTTCACACACTTGTTTCTTTGGACATTTTTCTTTTTTGAAAAGCTGAGCTCCATCCTGGTTCTGACTGCACATCCAGATACCAGAGGGGATGGACACCTGAGGAGAACCAGTCCGCTCCCCCAGTGAGCTGACTTCTACCTCTTCTCAGTTAGAGGACACTTACGGTAGGGCCGAGTCCTACTCTTTGTTTCTGGTGCCCTGTCCTGAGAGCCCCCAACTAGTCATAATATAGAACGGGACAATGCCTCCTTAGTCCCCATCAAATCTGTCCACCCCAACCCAGCTGTGCTCTTCTAGAATTACCGTCTCCTTGGACTAGTTAGGGGTATCAGCAGAATGTTCTGTTCTTCAATAATCACGTCTTTCTCCAAAGGTTTTTGCCTTTCTGATTTTCTTGCTGTATACCATGCCTGGCACATTAGAAAATGCCTAATAAACACTTGTCAAATGAATTTGAGTGGTGTTCAAGATGACGTTAGAAGATATATGGTAAACAGCTTATGTTTTCAGATATTAATATTAACTTTAATGTTGTAGGAAAGATATATAATTATAATCAATAGATTAATGTCTTTAAAGACACTGAACATATGAACTAAAAGTATTAATATATGTACGTTCATCTGTAATAATTGCAAAGCTTCCTTCTCTAGCATAGTAAAATCTAATCTTTTATTATGAAAATTAAAAAAAAATTAACTGTTATATAAAACCTCAGATAACATTACGGTAGATGTGTCTTTTTAAACATCTTATTTATTTCAAATAATTTAATAAAAATGGAATTTCAAGGAAATAAAGACATTTAACAGTGGTGTGAAAGTAACCGAAGTTTGGGAAACACTGACCCAGGGGCTGGTCACACAGCCTCTGAAGTTTGACTGGCTGGGTTTTAATCCTGGCTCTGATATAAACCAATTGAATGGCCTTGGGAAAGGGTTTGACTCCTCTAGGCTTCAGTTTCCTCATTTTAAAATGGGGCTAAAATAGTGCCTACCCCGTCGAGTTGCGGTGGTGAGTAAATAAAATACATCATCCATGCAAAATGCCTCACCCTGTGGCAGTCGTCTGTGACTGTTCCGCAAACGGTGATTATTATGAATCACTGCTCTAATAACGTAACTACCATCTTCTCAACTCCTACGTGATATTCTAAGTATCATTGAATGGAAGCCTCAGGATGCTGTTTCATTCTCAAGAACTTGCACAGGAGTTGGGGTAGGCTGGGATGTGGAGGTGGGTCCCACCAGGACACATGCTTAGAGGAAGGGGAGGTCATAGACTCAAAAGAAACCAAGAGAAACTGAGGTCTGGGCAGAAGTCCAAAGGATTAGCTAATGAGCATATCTCTCAGGCAGTTGAGTGGGACGACTGGAACCTCTTCTGAAACACCCCATGACTACTTTACTTCGGTAATTTATTTAAATTGATATACTTGATCCCTTAAGAAAAAAATGATCCTGCTTTCCTGAATGTTAAGTAGATGAGAGTTCAGTCCATATTCAATGCTAAGAAGCAGACATTTGGCAGAGCAATAAAGAGAACACACACATAAATAAGATGAAATTTTGTTTAACCATAAAACCTGCAGTTGGTTAGTCATTACATTGTAATCTAACCTGATCTAAACAAGGCAGTGCACAGATGCCTTATAAGCTTTTTCTTTTCTACAAATATCTCATTACCATCTACAGGAGCAGTTAAATATAGATATTTTGTTTTTATGACCCTTATTTCTGAAACATAAAAGGTTTTATGTTTCTAATTCCTAGATAGTTTTTTATGGTATTTCTGTTTATTTTGCATTCTATTTTCAAATCCTATTTGGGAAAAAAATTCAATGATTTCAGGAAAGTCTAAAGTGTTTTTCAATTATTATGAGGGAAATTCTGGAACTCAAGGGGTTCTTTGCTGCCTCTCTGATCTTAGACAATTACTTTGCTCAACAGATGTTAGTCTAGTTGGGATTTCAGTCTACTGGTTTCTTTAAAATTCTCTCTGGTTGCTCTTATTTCCTTTTGTTTCACTATTGTTTATTGCACTGAGTTTCAATAAAGTTTACTGAGACTGGTTTTGGTAGCAATAAAGCCTTATTTAGTTGAAAGTTTTCCAACATGAGAGTTTTATTTTGCAGAAAATTAACAACCCTGTAGTCAGGCTTCTGATGACCTTCACATAAATTTGAACAAAAGCCTCTGAGAGATAAAAACAGCAGAGGCAAACTTCATGCACATTCATCCACAGGGAGAGTAATTTTGTCCCACAGGCCCTCACGCTTTGAAGGGTTCTCGCTTAGGTTAATGCTCTGCCATCCCTGTTTTGAAATTCTCAATAATTTTTTCATAATCCTTTATGAAGCCATGGGCTGCCCCAACCCCAGGCTTGTCACCACACGATGCTCCACCTGCGAGGAAAGTCACCACTTACATTTTCCCTTCCTGATGAACTCCTCATAGCTCATGGGTAATTCTCGTTAAAACTTTCCCTCCCCTCGTCAGGCTGAGTTTGTCACTCCACATCTCCGTGTTCCTGTGACAACTCATGTACCCTCTAGAGACGCACTGTTTATTCTGTACCATATGCGCACATGTGATTGCTACCTGTCCCAAGTTTGAACTCTAGGCCAAAGAGTAGGTCTGTGTTTATCTTAGTGTTCCTCTGGAATAGTGCCTGCTTCTTGGTAGGATTCCTTAAATGTACCATAATGAGAAAAGTTTCAATAAGTATTCACATTCGGCTCCAGCAAGACGAAGCTTCTTCTTGCCCTTGGTACATATCTCCCTCTGCAGAAGCTATAATTCTCCATTTTTTTTTTTGTAAATGTGGAACTCTTATCATCTTTTAACAGACAACTAAAAGGTCCTTTTTTGTGAGAAGTTTTCATTGAATGTAAAAGAAAGAAGGAATCACTTCCTCCTGTGTGGTCTCTTAGCACTTACCCCATTGTACTGTGAGTATTTGAAAATGTCTATTCCCCCCACTTGACTAAGAGATGCTTGAAGCTCATGTTTTATTCATCTTATATCCCAACTCTGACATCGTACCCAGCACAAAAAAGTGGAATGAAGCAAGCAAGCAAGAAAAGGCAAAGGCAAAGAAACAATCACATACTTGCATGATCCCAAGATAATGATGTGATAGATGAAAATTCCAATTGAGCAATTCAGTTTTACTACCTGACATGTCATGAGTTGCTAAGTACTTTTTATTTATACCCCTTCAGTTGGAAGAGAAATAGGGGTCCTCTAAGCTAGTTGATAGCACAAACTAGAATTGGCTGGTCATACTAGTTTCATAAATCCAGCTAGATAAGAATCCACATCTTTCTCCAAACACAAAAGAGAAGTCTCAAACGTTAAGGTAAACATGTGTTTTCCTTAAGGGCCTACAGGCATACCGATTGCTATATTTAACAAAATAAACACAGCAAATCAGTCTTACTATCTCCCTGGTGTGATTTCCAAAATCAAATGCTCACAGATCTGTTTTCTTCTTTTTACAACTTCTTTTCCTTCAGCTCATCTAGGTAAGTGAGTTTGCCCTGGGAGAATGCTCCCTTTAATCCTAGGTGATGCCATTTATGCAGCCCAAAGATTCTTCAGGCACCTGGCTTTTTCATGGTGGAAACAAAAAAAATTGTTCTCTGTAGTCCTGGTTCCTGTTTTGCGATTTCACTTCCCATTTCACGGCATCACTTCTCCCAGTGGATTTGCCTGATTTTAAGCTTCAGTGGCACTCAAAGGTGAATTAG